CAAAAGGAATAAATCCTTGGACCATGTTTACTGCAACTTAGCAGGGGTTTACAAAGCATCCCCTCCCCACATTGGCCGGTCTGACCACATCAGCCTGCTTGTGACCCCATATACAGACCTCTCATCGTAAGGATTAAACATCACGCTTTGTACCATCGGGGCCTGAGGGAGCAATGCCAGGCTACAGGACTGCTTCGATGAGACAGACTGGTACATCTTCAAACAAACTGCCACCAAACAACCACACAGACTTAAACACCTTTGCCTTACCTCTGCTGCACTCAGCACCTTCTGCATGGGCAATATAACCACAGAGATGAACATACATGCACTCCCCAACCACAAACTGTGGATGAATGCAGCTATGGTTAACCTGTTGAAGGCTTGTGAAACTGCTTTCCGCACAGGTGGCCTACAGTACAGCCGGGTCCAGACTGAGGAAAGGCATCAGACAAGCGAAGCGCTGCTACAAAATGCGTATAGAGGAGCTCTGACTCCTGACGCATGTGGCATGGCATCAAGACCATAACAGGCTATGCAGGCAACAACAGCAGCCCAACACACACTGCCAACTCATCTCTCCCTGAGGACCTGAACCACGTCTTTGCCAGGTTTGATTGTAGAGACAATCTCAACAACCCATCACTGACACTGCAGGGGGACATGCCAGGTGGGCTGATGCTGAGCCCCTACTAGGTGAGACCGCCTCAGAACAACTTCATCCAGAACAAAGCCACTGATCGGGTTACAGGAAGGGCCCTGAAACACTGCGCAGGACAGCCAACAGCAGTGTTCACCAACCTATTTAACATCTCCCTGAAGCAGGCAACAGTCCCAACCTGCCTCAAGTTGGCCACAATTCCTCAGTGCTAAAACAGACAGCAATCAGGTCACTGACTCATTGACCACTGGCGCTGACACCGGTTGTGATGAAGTTCTTTGAACGCCTTGTTCTGGTACACATCAAGAGCAACATGCCACTCTCCTTGGACAAACACCCACAACACAACTGAGGACGCAGTGTCACTGGTCCTCCCCACTGCACAGACACACTTTGATCAGCGGGATGCTGTTCATTCACTTCAGTTCAGCTCCGCTTTCAACCTAAACCACCCCCCAACCTGGCCACAAAACTGATCCCGCTGGGCATTAACACTCCTGTGCAGCTGGATCAATGTTTTCCTCACTGACAGGCCACAGACTGTGTCTATGGTAAAAGATGCACCTAGGGTTCTGTACTGAGCCCTCTACTGTTCTCCCTCTACACACACGACTGCAGACCCTCCCACAAGAATACCTCCGTTCTTAAGTTTGCAGACGACACCATCCTAGTTGGCTGAAACACCAACAACAATAAGTCAGCCTACAGAACAGAGGTTGAGAACTGGGAGCCGAGACAACAACCTGATCCTCAATGCGGTGAAGACGAAGGAGATTGTCCTCGACTTCAGGAGGCTGAAGCCCAACATTAACGGCAAGACAGTGGCGGTCGTGCACAGCTTCAAATACCTAAGTGCCCACGTCAGCCAGGACGCGACTTGGTCCATCAACACCTCAGCGATGGCCAAAAAGCTCTTCAGAGTCTCCACTTCCTGACATGCCTGAAGAAGGTGTGACTTCCAAATCAGCTGCTGGTGAACTTCTACATGTCAGACATAAAGAAGATAAAAAAGATCCAAACGATAACACGGGGGCATTAGCTTTAAATTCAAAATAAACAATACCAGACCAGCTGATAGGAATCAGCTCGCCTAGGCCACTTCCTACGCCTGCCGTCCGGTCTACACAGCACCTGACCCCCATGCCAATCCCTGAAGGTGGTGCGCCCACAGGGTGGCAGCTCCATGTTGTTTCTTCGGGTTGAACCCGATTGGGCCCATGTAGGAAAGCCTGGCCACTAGACGCTTGCCGTCAGGCCCCCCAGGTCTGGCTCCAGTGAGGTGGCCCAGTCTCTCACTTCCAAGGTATCTGTGTTCCCCTTCTGTTGCTTCTTGGAGGTTTCTGAATCACTCTTTGTTTGGATCTCACCTGGGACCTATGTGCCTTAGGAGACCCTAACAGGGGGTAATGCCCCCCAACAACACAAATTCCAGGTTCACAGGGACATGCAAACCCTTCACCACCATAAGGTGGCCATTCATTTGGGGCTCAGCAGGATTGTGGGCCGGACCGTCGTGGTGAAGAGGGAACTACGCTGGAAGATTAAACCTACGATTAACCGGTCGATCTTCGCTCCAACCCTCAGCTGTGGTCATGAACTTCAGGAAGGAGAAACTTTTCATCCAGTCAAAATGTGTTACAGTTTTACACTCTTCCTCCCCCTCTCATTCTCACCCTCCCTCTTCCTCTCTCTGCAACCTCTTCCCTTGTTGTTGTAAAAAAAAAGGTGCTCACTTGTGGTCTTTTCATAGTGCTTACTTCCTGATCGAAGTGATAACAATTAACCATTGAGGTGTTTGGCTAATTAGCTCATGTCGTGTCATTTTGAATGGCAGTGTTCTGAAATTGCAAACATGTGACTTTATGTCAGATTGTTGTGTCTTATGCAGAGAACCGTGTTCAGTGCATTTAAAAAGTCTCATTTTGAATTGCAAAATGTGTGTAAAGCAGAAAATGTGTTTAGACTTCTGGAGACTTGAGAAGAGGTTTTGCTCTGTGTGTCAGTTTACATAATTGTGCTATGCACGTCATTTTAGTGTGTTAGCAATTGGAAAAAACTGTAATAACTATATTCCCGTCCCGTTTTCTTGAGCTGCTGTAATGCACAAATTTCCCCCACGGGGATCAATAAAGTTTATCTTTATCTTTATCTTTATCTGCAAATATTTCTGTGCATGTGAATAATCTGAAGAATTTTCTACAATTCGAACTATTTTAGTATTATGGCAAAGCATACTAAAGATGAGAGTGCTTTTCATTATGCCCAACAGTGTGTAGATGGTTAGACAAAAATCTGGTAATATGAATGAAGTGTGTGCCATTGGTGCAAAAGTTTGATTTTGATAATGCTATATGTAGTTTTGGTTGCAGTGCTTCATTTTGCAGGATATATGAGGTATTTTGCAGTTTGGGTGTGTATTTTGATAAAACCAGCATAGTTTGCAAATTGTTTTTTCGCAGTGGGAAAAAACTGTAAAGCAACACCTTTATTAAAAATGAAAGAAATAGTCAAGAATATTATAAAAACTCTGCAGTAGAAGAAGAAAAACAAGCCAGTCCTCGTGTCATACAGAGTTTATTAAAAACAAAAAAGCTTTAAAATAAGAAATGCAACATAAATCCTCAAACACATCTTTCCTTTAATACAATCATCTTTGCCTTTGAATCAACACAAAAATAAAAGTTAAAAGTTAACATCTTTAAAACGACACAGAAAAAAAGAGAAACAGCGGACCAGCTTCTCTCCCACACAAGTGTTCCTGCAACCGCTTCAGAGACCACTCCACTACCAAGCAGAGGTAAGCTGCTCCACTGTTTGTCCCCACTACAGTGCACCTTGTGTTACTGAACATTACCCGACACACAGTCAGCACTCCAGCTTCCGTCCAGTTTTAGTGCACGACTGCAAATATTGTTTATCTTGCTAATACTCTACCTTTGGTGATAAAACCAATCTAACAATGATTGAACACAGATGAGTCAAAACATGTAAAACCATACACAAAACATTACAAAGGTTATTCTCTTCTTATGGTCACATTGCTGTAAGATTTTACATTCCCCACAGTCTTATAATATACATATCAAATATTTAATACGTCTTAAATGAGCACATCTTTTTAGCCAGTCGGAGGAGTTCTGACCCGGTGTAGATCGTCTCTTCTGTTGCTGCTTTGACTTTTCTCTTCTCTCTTTGTCCGTTCTAATCTTAGAAAAAGTCGGTGCAGAATAAACCAACGAGTCCTCAGCGCTCTGAGAAAATAACAAAATAGTTTGAAGTCAGTATGCTGTTGATAAAGCTGTGCAGAGTATGTATCATGAATTTAGTTTCAACAGCAACATGAGGGTGAAACTTTTGACCTGCGAGAAAGTTTGCATGAGCGCTATAAACGACCAACGGTATAAACGACCGCATAAACGACCAACGGTTAACGGGTGGACAACTTTCTCGCCGTGCATCAATCAAAGTCTGCCTAAGTAGTTCTGACAAATAATGTTAGCATGCGTTGCTAACTCATCAGGGGACAGTAAGGTTATTCGTACAACATCAGGTCATTATATGATAATGTCAGCTACCTGAGAAAAAATGGGATGAGCCTGCAGATATTTCTATAAACTTATAAAAAGCAAAACAATATTCCAACAAATGATTCTCGTTGAATCTTTTCTGAAGTATCTCACCTGCTGGCGTCGTCGATCTGCTGCAGGATGTGTTTGCAGATCTTCAGCAGCTGTGATATCAATTAAAAAAAAAAGATGTAAACATTTCATTTACACAAAGATATAAAGTTAATATTAAAGTTAAGTTAATATTTGCTCAATACTTTTTTTTATTTATTAGAGATAATGTTCTGTTACCTTTGCTGGACTCACACGATTTAGTCTTGATGATATGAATCAGGAAAGCTATAATAATAAAGCTTATAGCCAAAGCAGCTGATAACAGAGACAGAGCTATTACGGCCGTCCGACTGTCGGCTCCTGAAAACATATAAAAACATATTGTGTTAAGATGTTACACTAAAATCTTCCAGGTGGATTCAACTGTTTGAAATGAATGTTAAAAAATGATTCATATTGAATGCTGTGCAGTTACCTTTGAAGTCAATCTTTGTCCTATTTCTAAACAATATCTCTCCACATGCGGCCACAGCACAGAAATAAGTCCCCCGGCGTCGGAGGATTTGACGGTCTTTGAGAAGCTGTAGACACATTTCTGTGGAGAGTGAGCCTCTGGACTCTCCTCACATCCTCCAGGTCTGTTTCCATGAGTGTAAATGACACTGGGATGATTTTCATCTGATCCAGCTCTGAACCAGAACACTCTGTGTTTCCCTGGACATGTGTTGTTTTCAGACTCAGAGAGAACAGAACACTGCAGAGTCATCAGGTCTCCTGGGTGGACTGGATCCTGTGAAATGTCTTGAACGACTGAGGTGATACTGGGCTCTGGTCCTGAATAAATTCAACACAAAGTAAATATGCTGGATTTGATAAAAACATTCTCAATTTGGAATGTTTGCTTTTAGTAAGAGGTTAGTTTTTTTAAATGATTTTTATTTACCTTTAATCTGCAGAAATGTTCCTTTTAAAACTGTCATTTTAATCCACTCTTGTTTCACACAAAAGTAAAGTCCAGTGTCGCCGACTTTTGCTTTATCGATAATCATGACAAACGTTCCAGGTTTTTGTTTTGCTGTGAATCGAGGAGTTTTGTGAACGTCGTCATATTTAAAGCTAAATGTTCCTCCCAAAACCTCAGGCAAATCTCCAGAAACGAGCCGGAGCCAGAATAATTGTGTTGAAGATACAGAAGCATCACGAGGACACGTCAGAGTCACATCATCTCCAACACCAACAGCCTTTGTCTCAAAGTTCTCATAGATGGTGCATCCTGAAGAAAATAAATATATGTCAGTGTTTAACAACAGAGAAAGATCATGTATGCTCTGTGCTAAAAATAAAACATATTAATCCTTAAAAGATCAGAATTAGACGAGAAGATTGGACATAAACTTACGACCAAGTGTGAGCGTCAGTAGAAAAACAAGAACAGACTTCATTTTCTCCTTCGTCCACTTAATACAGCAGTAGAATGAACTCGTATGAGAAGCTGCTTCTCATACATTGAACCATATAAAGTAGGAGGGAACAATCACAGAGCAATTTGATTGGCCCATCATTATGAGGGTATTACTTTAAAACCACAGTGGAATTTTTTTTGACCGTCTTTCAAGCTAAAGCACATGAAACAATAGCAGCAGCAAGCTTCTGTTTCAAGTTTTCATGGTGGGTTTCTGTACCTGCTGCTGAGTGGAAACACACTAACTACAGTTTTCATTAGTATTTTCAACTCTGTATAAAAGAAGCATACGTATGAACACTGAAGTCAACCAGTTATTTGTGAAAGCATCAATTTTGAAGCCAAAGTATTTGAACGAGGATGTCGACACACATTGTCTGGTTGAGCTGCACGTGCCCAGGAAAATCTCAGAATCTATTTGTCTGGTCTGTTCTTGCTGTCCCCCAAAACACTTGAAGACAAATGTTAGGCACGGTTAGTCTTGTGTAGTGTGACCGCGGGCCTCGCCGGACAGCAGGGGAATGGCGCTGCGGGGCGGCAATTGTGCTTGGGAACAGCACGGTATGGATGGCGAGTGTGACCGCGCCCTTAGAGACCGTAGGTACCACGAGCAGGCCTGATAACTGAAGGCTCTACCTCCCGTAGTACATTTAGAGACCGTAGGTACCACGAGCAGGCCTGATAACTGAAGGCTCTACCTCCCATAGTACATTTAGAGACCGTAGGTACCACGAGCAGGTCTATAACTGAAGGCTCTACCTCCATAGTACATTTAGAGACCGTAGTACCACGAGCAGGCCTGATAACTGAAGGCTCTACCTCCCATAGTACATTTAGAGACCGTAGGTACCACGAGCAGACCTGATAACTGAAGGCTCTACCTCCCGTAGTACATTTAGAGACCGTAGGTACCACGAGCAGACCTGATAACTGAAGGCTCTACCTCCCATAGTACATTTAGAGACCGTAGGTACCACGAGCAGGCCTGATAACTGAAGGCTCTACCTCCCATAGTACATTTAGAGACCGTAGGTACCACGAGCAGACCTGATAACTGAAGGCTCTACCTCCCATAGTACATTTAGAGACCGTAGGTACCACGAGCAGGCCTGATAACTGAAGGCTCTACCTCCCATAGTACATTTAGAGACCGTAGGTACCACGAGCAGGCCTGATAACTGAAGGCTCTACCTCCCATAGTACATTTAGAGACCGTAGGTACCACGAGCAGACCTGATAACTGAAGGCTCTACCTCCCATAGTACATTTAGAGACCGTAGGTACCACGAGCAGGCCTGATAACTGAAGGCTCTACCTCCCATAGTACATTTAGAGACCGTAGGTACCACGAGCAGGCCTGATAACTGAAGGCTCTACCTCCCATAGTACATTTAGAGACTGTAGGTACCACGAGCAGGTCTGATAACTGAAGGCTCTACCTCCCATGGTACATTTAGAGTCCGTACTTAGGCTTGCATTCTGGGATGGTAATGTTCCTGAAGGGTAATACAGCATTATCAGCTCTTTAAGATAAGATTTTTCCTGATCAGAGCTTTGTAAGAGAAGAAAGGATTCTAAATTATATTCTAGATTTTATTGGGAGCCAGTGCAAAGAAGCCAATAAAAGAGAAATGTGATCCCTTTTCCTAGTTCTTGTCACTACAGCTGCAGCATTTTGTACTATTTGAAGAGTCTTCAGAGACTTACCAAGGTAGCCGTCTAGTGTGCAGCCAGCCTTATTTTATGAAGCGATAAACTCCCACTACATATCTCTTGTTGAGGCCAAACAGAGCAGGTACAAACCAGTGAGAGATTAGCACCTCCCCTCTGGCTGGTGAAAAACACAATAAAAACACTTCACATTGCTGCCTTTTCCTAAACCTAAGTTGTTGTTGTGATACTATTTCTAATAAAAACAGTATTATAGCTCTCTCACTTTAAAGAAGGTAATAGAAAAGTTAAGTTGAACTTCCTGAGATTCAAACAGAGTGCAGCAACAGAAAAAAGCCTCTTTGTATTCACACCTCGATGTGAAGCCTAACCACAACGGCACTCGAGTTTCCATGCATGACTTGGTCTTCAGCTGTGACTGTGAATGTGTGTTCATCTGTTTGTTTGTGTGTGTGGACAAAAAGTTGACCACAGGCAGAACACCTAAAAGTTTTAATGCACAGTGAACTAACCACTAGCATGCAAGAAATATCTCCTAAACTGTTTCTGCTTCATGCTTTCTCTCTCTCTCTCTCCCTCTCTCTCTTT